AAGCAAAGGAACAGTGCCTAGGTCTTGAGTTCACACACAAAAAGTAAGTAAAATAAAATGCATCAGACAACTGTAATGCACAGTGAAGGATGAAAACCACTTAGATTATATTGGCTGTTCATGCTTCCAGGTCCCCCTAGCTCTTCAATGTTTGCCATGGATTAGTGATAGGCTCAAATTATAGGTTCTAATTCCAGTTCTGTCAATTCAGCTGTATGGCTTTTAGTTACTTTAGCTATCCTAGCCTCATTTTCCTTACTCTTGTAAGAGTTAAACAAGCCATAGACTGGCAACTATCAAACTATATGCACTCTGTAGGGAGGTTCATTTAGTCTTCTAAGGGATGACCTTTAAAATGACTCTAAAAAAAAATTGAACTAGTTTGCCAATATCTAAAAGGACATTTTCCAGAAGAAACTAAAATTCAGACATCTTGAGGAATTGTATGATAAAGTATCACATGATAAGCATCGCCAAATTCCTGCAATGATGACTCATTCAATGAGTTCTACAAACTCCCTACACCAACTTGTCCCATTTGGTATAAATTGATATTACCTGCCCAGCCCAAGAGAAAGGAACCTGCCTGTTCCTTTTGCCAAGGTGAGGAGACGGCCCTCGAGTCTCATGTCCTTTTGCAGTCCCCTAACAGCAAAATGGGTAAGCCTGTGTATCCAATAGGACACTGAAATGAAAGGATATGACTTCGTCACAATGCACATTGAAGCTGAAGCTCTGCCTTGCTTTTTCTTCGATCACTCAGTCCACAGGAGTTAGCACCACCTCAGGAGGATACTCAGCTTGATGGAGAGGGCTATGTGGCAGGGAACTGAGGCCTTCTGCCAACGGTCAGCACTCACTGGCCAGTCAGGTGGGCCAGCCATCCTACAGGCTACTTCTTCAGGTGATGGCTACCCAAACTGACAGATAAAGATTGCAACTTAGTGGAAGACCCTGTGCCAGAGCTACCCACCTAAGCTGCTCAGAAATTCCTCGCCCTCAAAAACTGTGTATTACTTTCTTAGATGCTAAGTTTAGAAGCAATTTGTTCTGTATCAATAGAATGCTAGCAACTCACTCTTCTCTTGACCTCTTTAATGTTAAAATAGGACAATGCTTTTACTTCAGAATGTTAGAAAGTTAAAAGGGACCACAGTCAAGTCTGCACTGGATAGTGAATTTTTACATTTCTGGATAGAAAATTTAACTCCTTTGCAATTTCCAGCTAAATCTGATATTTTCCTGTTTTTTCATTTGCAACAGGGTCTCATTTTGTAGCTCAGGCTGTCCTCAATCTCAATCCTCCTGTCTCAGCCTCTCAGTATTGGAATTACAGGCATGTAGTGCCATGCCAAGTTCTGCAGGTTCTTCTTGTTTCCTAATTGAAGCCTTCAGAGTTCTGTCCTTGAATGTTTCTTAAATAAGAGGTTGAAAACTGGTTGCATAGAGGTATCACTCAAAAAAAAAAGTAATTAGGGAGGAGGAGAAAGGTGGAGTCAGTTCTGAACAGAAAAAAGAGTGGTAAAGAATTTATGTTTTAGCCCACTTATAGTAGAATGGCAGTTGAGATGCTCAGAGGACAGGATGCTCATGTGTCTTGTTAAATATGGCTGGCTTATGTTAGCAGAGACACAAAGTACAGCACTGTGAGAGTGAAGAGTTCTCAATGCACAGAAAGCAAAGCGTAGTTCTTGGGCTAAAACCTAAGGTCTTTTATTCAATATAATCTTCCCCAGGATCTATCAGAACCTTAAGAATTTCTCATGGATTCCCATGGTCATTATAGTTGAGATTGTTTCTTCTAATTATGTGGACCAAATGACAGGATATAAGAACAATCTGAAAACAGCAATGCTAAGAAAATTTATATATAACCAATTAAACATACTTCACAAAATTAACTTTACATAATGATATAATTGTTTTTGTCTTTTTACATTTAAGCAAAATAAAGAGTCAGTTCCATTAGTTACTATTTTATTGTGCTGGTACAACCCAGGGCCTGTACCCTCACTTAGCTTTTTCTTCTCAAGGCTAGTGCTCTACTACTGAGAAACACCTCCACTGATAGCTTTTTGATGGCTAACTGGAATCTCTCAGAGTTGCCTGCCAAGGCTGGCTTTAAGCCTCAAGCCTTAGATCTCAGCTTCCCAAGTAGCCAGGGTTACAGGTGTGAGCCATTCATGCCTGGCAGTTATATTATTATTCTATTAAGTATTCAACTTTTTCTAAAAGAGAGAGTTAATTTTTTTCTTTCTTTCTTTTTGATGGTACTGAAGATCAGTTCGAAATATACCCCCAACCCTTCAATCATGTTTTACTGCTAAGTAGTATTATGTTGCCATGCAACTTACAAATGCATTTTTATGGCCTTTTGCTTTTACAAGTTGGATTGAAGGTGTAGTGGAGTTCCTAGTTCATGGCAGGTGCTCAGTAAATACTACCTATTTAATGAAATACACACATGTATTCATTACAAGCTAAGTCCTGGACCTGAATTCCAAGGCAAGGCTTTTCTCTATGGTTTTCCAGAAGACCAGAAAACTCCATTTTTCTTCTTCTCAAGAGATCTTAACACCACCTAACAGATATCCCTTGTTCCATACCAGAAAACAACATGACTAACCCCAGGCAATAATTGAGTATGAAAGGCATGCAGCACTAGCTAAGCATTTCTAAGCAAAAGAATCTCTAAGCAATATAAAGTCTAATATATGTTTAATAGTCTAAGCATTATATAGTCTAACTACATCTAATCCTCACAATATAGGTACTAATTCTCTCCATTTATTAGTAGAGGAAATTAGGGTAAAAAGAATAAACAACATAGCACATAGCTAGAAAATGGTAGTGCTTACAGCTAGGATCTCAGGAAGTGAGCTGCAGAGCTCATATACTACTCATTTTTCTCGTTCCCTTATCTGACCACGGAAGGTTCCTCCAAAAGAATGTATAATTTCATTATACATCCCTATAATTTTATTAAGAAGGAAATTAACTCCCAGGAGAGAAAACAGGAGTTCACACCACACCCACAGTTTGCTCAAAGGAACTTGGTCCTGGGATAAAAGGCCAATTTGTCTGGTTTACAGGTTCATTCACTTTCCTCTAAAAATCTTCTCTTCTTCTAAAATTATCTACATTCATACAACTCCCTTCTCCTCTATTAAGATTCAGGGCATATAAGCTTCTGAATTCTAGGTTACTGAGTACTCACCTTCCTCCTTTTTCCTCACAATAAATCTTGTATGCCCTTTCTCCTGTTAGTAGACTGCCAGTTTATTTCAGCAGACTCACCAAACCTTTGGAGGGTGGAAAGTGCACTTTGCCCTTTGGAATTACAAAAATCCCCTTCAAAAATGTTGGCTAACGGGGTATAATGAAACACATTCCTAGATATCTGGTGTCCTTTCATCTTGGGAGAATAGAGAAACCAGGCCCATTTCACAGCTCTAAGCCCTTCCCTCCCTCCCTCCCTCCCTCCCTCCCTTCCCTTCCTTCCCTCCCTCCCTCCCTCCCTCCCTTCCTTCCCTCCCTCCCTCCCTCCTTCCCTCCCTCCCTCCCTTCCTTCCTGTCGTGGGGCCTGAACTCTGGGCCTAGGTGCTGTCCCTCAGCTCTTCAGCTCAAGGCTAGGCACTCTACCACTTGAGCCACAGTGCAACTTCTGGCTTTTTCTGCTTATGTGGTGCTAAGGAATCCAACCCAGGGCCTCATGCATGCAAGGCAAGCACTCTACCACTGAGCCACCTTCCCAGCCCAATCCTCATCATTTCTACCTATGGAGACCCTCATCTGGGCATCTGTCCTGCAACAGTTCATCTTGTCCAAACTCACATTCATTAAAGCAATCTCATTCAAGCATAAATAAATACTGAGTCAGCCACCCTAGGCGTTGCTCATTTTACAGAGCTGAAACATACAAAAGGCTATGCAGTTATGATGTCTAGGAGGATCCCCTGGGACTAAGAGAAAAATTATGGATATCATATGAATTGTTCAAGTGACTCTGGGCAAATTACATCACCTGAGTATCAATTTCACCACTGTAAATGAGAGGGTTCCATGAGATAATCTATAAGGCTGTACTGAATTCTAAAACACTGTTCTCTTACCAAAGGGCAATTTAAAATCTATATAAAACAAAAGCTATTACATTAGTCTAAAGACTGCTTTCTTCAGGTTACTCCTTTATTAAAGAAACCAATTACCCTAACTCTGTTACATCACTAAATTTCTTGTCATGCTTCCAAGACACCCATAGTAAGACCACACTTGTCTAACATTTTATTTTGGTACAGAGACTCTAACCCAGGGCTTTGCATACAAGTGCTCTGCCCTACCTATTCATATTTCCAACTATTATTCTTTGTTTTTGTACTCCATTCAGGTTGGTCTCTCCACTGTCTTCACAGGATTCAATTCCCACCTTTAGAACTTTTGCCCTTGTTACCTGCAACCAAAGATCCAGCCAGAAACAGCCAATTCTCCCTCCCAGAGCTGAATCAATCCAAGGACTTCAACGAGGTCACGATTTTTTCCACAGAAGCCTTTCAGGGTTAACTGTCTTTTCCCTACTCAACAAGCGTGAACTAAATATTTGAAAGTCGCAAGCTAAAGTTATGGAAATGACTCTTCACAGGTTAAGTTTACGGTACTAGGAACCGGTTCTCCAACAGTTTCCTCAGACACTTCACCTTAGGCGAGGTCCATGCACCAGTGGGCTCCCGTACCCCGCGGGGCATTTAGCACAGCGTGGGGCACGGACCAGCGGCTGCACACGAACACACGCGATCGGCCTTAACCTATGCCCACCGAGGGAGGAGGCCCTGGAGGACGGGGCGAGGGGAAGGCCGGGCACAGGTGTGCGAGGTCCTCCAGGTGACACAGGCCCCACACCTGGCGCGGCCGGGGACATCGCCACCTCTCCAGCGCCCAGCCCGTCGCTTTTGGGGCGGAGGCCAGGCCCTTCCCGCGGCCGACCCTCCTCCCTCCCTTCACCTCTAATCCGGCGCCCACGGCTCAGCCAACCCCACGGATGCGGGCGGAGCCAGGGTGCGGGAGGGCAGCGCGAGGGGGCGGATGCGGCCCCCGGGGTGCCGCGCGCCACTCACCCGGGGCCAGACACCAGCTTCGGGGCAGCTCCGCGCGACTGGACTAGCGTCGGCGACGAACGCTGGGCTGTGGCCGGACAGCGGCGGCACCGGTACTTCCGGCCTTGGGAGGCGCACCGGAAGTTGCGCCGGAAGCCAGGTCCAACCCGGAAAGGGGGTGCGGTGGCGCCCAAGCGAAGATTCGGGTGTCGGTCGAGGAGCGGGGAATGCCCAGGCAGAACCCACGCAGCCTGCGTGCGCTGGGGTCATGTTTTCTTTGTAGGTCCGGGCTCGGGTCTGCAAGAGCGCAAGAGCTCCTCCCGCCAGGGCTCCGGCCCACCCCGCCGGCCCACTCACCATCTCCCCGCGGCCCTTCCGCATTCCCGGCCCGGGGGCGGGGCGCGGCCGGCCGGGCCCGCGGGAGGCGCTGCCCTGCACCCTGGCCCTGGGGGGCCCGGCCCGCGGGAGGCGCTGCCCTGCACCCTGGCCCTGGGGGCCCCGGCCCGCGGGAGACACTGCCCTGCACCCTGACCCTGGGGGCCCGGCCCCGGCCCGCGGGAGACACTGCCCGGCACCCTGACCCTGGGGGCCCGGCCCCGGCCCGCGGGAGACGCTGCCCTGCACCCTGACCCTGGGGGGCCCGGCCCCGGCCCGCGGGAGGCGCTGCCCTGCACCCTGACCCTGGGGGCCCGGCCCCGGCCCGCGGGAGGCGCTGCCCTGCACCCTGACCCTGGGGGGCCCAGCCCGTGGGAGGCACTGCCCTGCACCCTGACCCTGGGGGGCCCGGCCCCAGCCCGCAGGAGACACTGCCCTGCACCCTGATTCTGGGGGGCCCGGCCCGCGGGAGACACTGCCCGGCACCCTGGCCCTGGGGGCCCCGGCCCGCAGGAGACACTGCCCTGCACCCTGACTCTGGGGGGCCCGGCCCGCGGGAGGCGCTGCCCTGCACCCTGACCCTGGGGGCCCTGGCCCGCAGGAGACGCTGCCCTGCACCCTGACCCTGGGGGCCCTGGCCCGCGGGAGGCGCTGCCCTGCACCCTGACTCTGGGGGGCCCGGCCCGCGGGAGACGCTGCCCTGCACCCTGACCCTGGGGGGCCCGGCCCGCGGGAGGCGCTGCCCTGCACCCTGACCCTGGGGGGCCCGGCCCCGGCCCGCGGGAGGCGCTGCCCTGCACCCTGACCCTGGGGGGCCCGGTCCGCGGGAGGCGCTGCCCTGCACCCTGAGCCTGGGGGGCCCGGCCCCGGTCCGCGGGAGGCACTGCCCTGCACCCTGACCCTGGGGGGCCCGGCCCCGGCCCGCGGGAGGCACTGCCTTGCACCCTGACCCTGGGGGGCCCGCATCTGTTAAGGTTTTCGAGTCCCCTGGCGCCAGCCGCGGCCCACCCAGAGTTGCCAGATTTGGCAAAAGCAGCCTAGTTAAATCTGAATTTCAGATAAAGCTCTTTTTAGAGGTGAGGGACGGTGTGTGGGAAGGTCAGGGGTGGCGCCAGAAACCCTGTCACTTCTGAACAACTGCACCTTTTCCGCCATAAAATTATATAAGGTTTACAGACTTGTAACTCAGGCCACAGCCTATGACTTTACCCTTTCAACTCCTAGACAGTTTCATTAAAATTATTTGCTTTTTGAAAGATTACCAAGGAGATGATAAGGCACACATACATGCACACACATATAAAGCTCTTGGCCAAAATACGGAAAGCACAAAGCAGCATTCAGGTTTTGTTTTAGGTAATATTCCTGGCTATAATCTTCTGGACAGTTTCCCTCACCTTGGGATCATCTAGATGATTAACACTATTTCTGATTAATGGAGGACAATCAACCTAATAGCCAATATTTATTAAACATTTATTATTGCCTATTAATGCGATAAAGGCTTAGGAGGTAACAAAGTGGAATTTATGTTCTAAAAATTTTCGATCAGAAATTTCAAAAAGAGGCACTGTATGTTCCCTGTTGTACAGAAATTCTTAAAAAACAGTATCACATCAATGACTAACTTGGAGGAGCTTTCAAAACAGATTCTTGAGCCTCAAAATCTAATATTAGGATTCCTTAGTCAGGGATGGAGAACAGTTTTTTTCTTATAAACACACAGTTGATGCTGATGCTCATCTGAAGTCACACCAGATTCTAAGTACTCTTCCTCAGCTTCAGTCTGCCCTTTGATATCAATAGCCGAAATGACTGTCCTTCCACTCACCACATTTGGGCTTCTCAGGTTTCTGACAGATTTTCCAGGTATGGAATATTACCACCCCATAAACCCTAGCCCTGGACAATGTCATGTAAGCACATGGCTAATGTCACCTTGATAGTATTTTTGTTTTTTCCTAAATTGGGGACCCAATCCCAGGGCCCCAAGCATGCAAGTAAGTACTCTACTCTAGTACTATATCTCAGCCCTACACTTTGACTTAGTATTAAAACACCTAAAACTGTGCTGTCCAACAACACTTTGACTTAGTATTAAAACACCTAAAACTGTGCTGTCGAACAATCCGTAACCACATATGGCTATTTCAACTTAATTCAAAATTTAGTACACCAATCTTATTTGCACATTTTAAGTGCACAACAGCAATATATGGCTAGAGTCCTCATTAGACATTACATCACCAGAAAGTTTTAGTGGACAGCATTTGTTGTAAAGAAATAATTCTGCAGACTCAAAATTAACGAAAAACTAGCTATCCAAATCCTTGGGAAATCATTATTTATAGAATATTTGTATCAAAGGTAAACTTTCACCCACCAAAAAGGTCTGAAATGTGCTATACTCAAAAATGGTAACCATGTCAAACCATGAAGATGATTTAAAATATATTCAACTAAAAATTCGCTGTCAACTTATAACAATTCTAAAATATATGTACAGAAATATTAGAGAAAAGGCATGCCTGCTGCTTTTTGAACATGTGCAGATATCCAGAATGAAAGACTAGGTTTTAGAAGCTGGAAGAAGTGGAGATGGGATAAGTAGCACTGGCGAGATGGTCATTTCTTCAATGTGGGATTAGCTCCAGCAACCCTTCAAGGACAAGAAATATAAAAACCAAGTTGCAAAGGAGCCAAGAATTATTCTCCTAAGAAAACTTAATGTGACATAAATCTGGCTCAGGAAATTCAAAGTACAAGGTAAACTCTCAAGCATTTCTATGTAAGTGTAACTAAATTTTCATACTCTCTACAATCATGAAATTTCACTTTGAAATAATTTGTAAGTTGACTATGGACTTTTCTCTCCTAAATTTAGCATTTACTTCATCTCCAACTTCTATTAAATGCCTATATTCACTACTCTTTCTAGAGCTCTCTTTTATGAAGAATGTCCCTTCATATGGCCCATCTTTTCCAACCTTCCAAATATGACTGTTTTACTTTCTTCCCATTTGTTTTCTTCTCTTTTTTCAGACTTTAATCTCTAAAGACCCTATCTCCTCTTCAGATTCTCTTCAGAATTTCACTGGTAAGCAAAACAAGAATAACTATTTGGATACCTATTATGCACCAGACCATGTCTTTTGTGTTTATTTTTACAAAAAGCTTGGAGGGTGCTATCCCTATTTTCCTGATGGTTCGAAACTGTAATCCTAATTATTCAAGAGGCTGAGATCTGAGAATCAAGGTTCAAAGCTGGCCGGGGCAGACCAATCTAAGAGACATACAATTAACCAGCAAAATGCTGTAAATGGAGGTACAGTGCAAGTGGAAAGCACAAGGCCCTGAATTCAAGCCCTAGTAATAGCAGTTTTTTTTTTCTTTTTGTTTATAGCATTGAATGAAATTGAGGAAGAAAAGTAAGACAGCTTCTATGAATCTAATCTTGAAGGGGCAAAGACTAGTTACAAGTCCTTCCACTCTTATTCTACATAACCAGTCTTACCAGCTTAAAGGATCTAGCTCTCCTATCCTACAGTGTGCAAAAGACTGCTGCCCAAAGACAATTACTTACTGAATGAGGTCATGGTTTTCTCCAAAGATTATCTTGTTAATATTAGCATAAAACTTGAAATTATTAAAGTAATTGTTAGTTACTCATCTTCACTAATTTTCACTCTTTGCAAGGAACTTTCCCTCAATGTTTTATTTTTTTTTAAATTCATGAATCTTTGAGAGTAAGATTTCTGAAGCCTAAAGAGAATGAAAATGTCTTCCACTCCCTTGTTAACTGTGCAACAGTCCTACCATGTACAAACAGCAAAAGTTATTTTTAGAATTGAAACAATGACCTCACTTTCCTAAGAATGTAGCTTCAGCTGTTTTGATTGTGGGCAGGTCAGGAATGTCTAAAATTCACAGACTCATGATGATAATTTCTGCATAAACAAACATAGTCTTTCAATAGGGGCTGTCATATTTAAGGAAAGTATATATAAAAATACTGTGCTTCCAACAGTCAGAAATACAAACTCTGCAATCTGTCTTTTGGGTACAAGCATTCCACAAAACCTCTGAAGCTAAAAGTTTTAAAAATAGGAAAATGGGAGGGAAAAACTGGGAAAGCAAAGGAAGGGGTGACATTGTCCAAAAAGAAATGTATTCTTTATCTGACTTATGTAACTGTAACCCCTCTGTACATCACCTTTACAAGAATAAAAAAAATTTTTTTAAAAATAGGAAAATGAAAATTATATGCAATGGTTTGGTATAATTTTAAATAACTTAAAACCACGTACAAAAGTTTAGAGCAGTTAAAAGTGGGAACAGAAAAAGGAAGTTTTCCAAACTTAAGAACTTATAGCTGTTAAAATGATATTTATACTGATTTTACAGAAACTTGCTTTAAAAACTGGAAGACAGGGATGGGAAGGTGGCTCAGTGGTAGAGCGCTTGCCTTGCATGCCTGAGGCCCTGGGTTCGATTCCTCAGCACCACATAAGCAAAAAGAAAAAAGCCAGAAGTGGCGCTGTAGCTCAAGTGGTAGAGCACTAGCCTTGAGCTGAAGAGCTGAGAGATAGTGCCCAGGCCCAGAGTTCAGGCCCCAACACTGGACACACACACACACACACACACACAAAAACAACAACAACAACTGGAAGACAGGGCTGGGAATGTGGCTTAGTGGTAGAATGCTTGCCTACTAAGCATGAAGCCCTCAGTTCAATTCCTTAGTACCACATAAACAGAAAGTGGCACTGGCTCAGGTGGTAGAACTGTGGCTCAAGTGTTAGAGTGTTAGCCTTGAGAAAAAGAAGCTCAGTGCTGAGGCCCTAAGTTCAAACCCAGGACTGGCAAAAAAATACAGTACAGGAAACCAGATGAGAGTAGTTAAAAGGAAGGAGTATTAGAGGCCTAACAAAAATCTTTCTTTTTGTTGTTCCTGTTTCCGTTTTTAAGATAGAGTCTTACCATGTGCCCACCTTGATCTCTAACTCATTATGTAGCCCAGGCTGCCTAGAACTCATGATCCTCCTCGTGCCTCAGCTTCCCTAATGCTGGGATTATAGAGATTATGTCACCAGGTCCAGACCTAGAATATTATTTTCTAAGACCTACCTCATTGACTCTCCCTTGAAAAGCAACTGATAAAAGTCAACTTTGGTAAATAAGAAGTTTAAACAAGTGTTTTATGATAAAGTTTTAATTATGGTTCAGAAAAAATTGAGTGAATAACTTTCTCTGAAAAAATATATTGACTCTGTGTGGACTGCAGTTACTTGGGGGAGGGGATGGGACCACTGGTAAATTAAATTACCCTATTTTCTATTCTGAGAATGACAAAAAGTCCCAATTCCAGTCTGATTATAAAGATACATGTGCCCAAATGGCTGAGAATAAATACAAAACAGGAAAAGCAAAAGCTCTATAGCTAAGGGCATGCAACAGGCTCTAAGAGAAAAATCTCAGAAATACCCAGAGTGGCAATAAGGAACATATGGCTGGAATTTGAAGTTCTTTTCAGTCATCTTTGTCTTTTGCTCCGTGTTTGAGGATACGTGTGAATTCAATGTAATTGAAATTGCCCTTTTTGTCAATAGGGGCTTCTCGGTAAAGCTCATCTACTTCCTCATCTGTGAAGCGATCACCCATGGTTGTCAGCAGCTCCCGCAAGTAATCCTCCTGAATGGTGCCTAGAGAATGAAAAACTGAGGATCAGAATATATACTACTCTCAAAGTTAGTTACAAGTAATACATACACCTGACTGTGCATTCTCTACAGTAAGAAACTAGATACATGATAATACATGAAATACAGGGTTTCCAGCCACTTTAGACAACTTCGATAGGTGCTTAGAACAGTGGCCAGCTATTTAGCAGCCATTATATTCCTCTGCTGTCACTCAGCTTCCACATTTTCTGATCTTTGATGGCAGGGACTAAACCTACCCTGGAA